ATGGAGCTCCACTCCTCAGTGTGAGTGACAGCATGGAGTTCCACTCCTTGGTGTGAGTGACAGCTTCTCAGTGTGAGTGACAGCATGGAGCCACACTCCATGCTGTCTTCCTTCACTAGTGGGAGATATCTTCAATGTTTGCCTCGAGTACTGGAGAAAGGGATGGTGAGACTCTGCTTTGTGGCCAAGCTGCATGAACATGCCCTGTGTCACGACCACTGGCATGCCCTTAGTTAGACTCTATTTCTCTTCTTGAGGTCTCCTCTGGAGCATGCCTTTGTTTGTTCATGGAGAAAAAGGACAGAGGGGCTTCTGGGCTGTTTTTATTTTTTATATTTTATTTTTTTTAGATAAGATCTCATGTACCCAGGTTAGTCTGAAACTACTTAAGCAGCTAGGAATGACCTTGAACTTATGATCCTCCTGCCTCTGTATCCGAAGTGCTGGGATTACAGGAATGTGCCACCACATTTGGTTTTATGTGATTCGGAGGAGTGAACTCAAGGCTTTCCGCATGCAAGGTAAGCATTTTACCAACTAAATCACATCTCCAGCCCTTCCTGTGCTTCTTAAACAGTGTGTCTCATGTCTCCTGTTCCAGTCCATTTCTCCTCTAAGCTCATGTGACTCCACAGCCTGTACCTCCTGAGTGTCAGGATTATAGGCTTGCCTCCCCAAGCCCAGCAATTTTCAGCTTCGCCATCTCTCTGTTTTTTCCCTAGCATCTCACCACTGGCCCCATGAGAGAATGTAACATTCAGAAGGTGTGGCGGGCACCCCTCCCATTGGATTCAGTGTAGGGCCAAGTTTGTAGGGTCATCTGAGTCTAAACCCCAGAGTCAAAGGCTCGCCCTGGTATTCACCATGTTCAATATAGTCATAGAGCAGAGACATTTCATGAAGTCAGCTGTCATATATGTCAATGAGCCAGAAGACACTGGAGTCCTGAGGGCTTCATGAAGCAGTATCATCATGCTGCCGCCAACTGCCTACTTTTGGACTTCAACACACAAGTCAAATGTTCCCATGTGTGAGGGGTACTGTCTTCACTCTCTGTTACTAATTAATAAACATCATCTTGGTTTCTCAGAAGAACTTGGTTTGTTTCTGCCTTTGCCTCTAACTTACATGATTCTTAATTCTTTTGTTCCTGGATAGGAGTTAGAACTAACTAGCGTTCCTTCATATTCCTTGCGTTCTATGGTAACACATGGAATATAAGGAGAAGAATAGAGAATTGGGGCCTCAAAAAGCACCAGGGACTTTTCATATGCTACCAAATAAAACCCTTAGTACTAGGAATGGGCTACATCTTTTTAACACATTCGCTAAAGGGATCCAGTAGATCCCCCCACACTGAACATTTCATGCTATTACACAACCTGATGGTCAGACCCTGTTGAAGACACTATATACTTATGTCATAGAACATGGAAAAATCTAGCTAATGCTCAACTGGAAGCCTCATCCCTCCTGGCTGGTGATCATAGTCTTAGAAGGTACTATGCATGCTACTGGAGGAAGAGAGTACTCAATCTCACCAGCGATGGATCCTACAATAACGGCCTGTCTGCAAGATATGCTCACCATGCAATAGTGCCATTAATATTACCAGAGTAACTAACCACTTTTGATTGGGTTTAAGAACCTCTCCAGGAGACTGAGCTCATACCTGACATTTTTAATGAGGCCAAGAACCTGATACTAGATAGATCATAGACCCCAGAGGAAAATACATTATTATTCTGCTAAGTGAACAGAGCAGCAAAATGAACTTCTAATAACAAATTATATGTATAGATCAGTGCACCACTTAACCATTATTAGAGAAACTTCTTCTTGCAGTAGAGGGTAATGAAAACAGAGACCTGTGAGAGATTTGGGAGTGCTCGGCCCTAAATGTGAAGCCTTTGTCACATCTCTCTCCTCAAGGCTCAGGGATCAATGCAAAAGACGGGCAGAACAGTAGTAGAGCCAGAGGTGGTGGAGGACTCCAGGGAAATAGACACGGCAGGGCCCATGCACATCTGAACTCAGCATGTAGGAGACTCACACCAACCTAAGCCAGACAAATCCCAGCACAAAGGAGGGGACATGGGCACAAAGCCCCACCCCAACTAAGAAGCTATTTGCAATTGATACATGCTACAAGAGGGAGAATCTAGTTGTTGTTGTTGTTTTTTCCCCCTTCGTGAAGCAACACTGTGCTTGTCTACACTGCAGGGCAACCCTTAGGTTAACACAAATCTGACTCTGTGGGTTTTGTTGTTGTTGCTGTTGTTTGTGTGTGTGTGTGTGTGTGTATGCCTGTGTGCTAGAGTTTTCTTCTGTTATTGTTATTTTAGTTTGGTGTAGTTTTTTAATGGTTATTCCAAGTATTTTCTATTTTTTTTAAGAGAGAGAACATGAAGTTGAGGCAGGTAGAGAGGTTGAGAAGAATTTGGGAGGAGTTGGGGGAGGGGAAACAACACTCTCAAAACATACTGTATGAAATTCTCAAGGAATAAATTAAACAATTTAGAAATAGGGACATTATTTAAAGGAGATGTTTGCAATAAAATAAGAATCCATTACAATAAAGTTCAAATTGTATGAAAAACAGTTCCAGGGACTATGGCCACTCTGGTGTACTCTAGCTTTGAATTGAAGGGTAGAAGAACCTTAATTCATGAACTAAAACATGAAAGAGAATTTATAATTTTTTTTTTCATAAAAAAAACCAGTATGAGTTAAATACTAAGGCAAGTCGAGAGGTGATGGTGGTCTCCAAGGAGCTGGAACGGGGTTCTAGAAGGGTCTGGTAACCCCGTGCCTCTGCATTTGTATTCAGTCACGGGTGTTACACACTGGCTTCTTCTACTTCAATATCATGCCTCCTGGCTTCAGCCACGGAGAAGGGCTGACTCTCCTTCCTGACTGTGTGGTCAGGATTCTTAGGGATGGACTCTAACTGGCTCACCTTAGATTAGATTCTCCCTGGAGACCAAGCATCTGTTGCCAGGAAACAGACACATGTTTAAAGAGCCGTGGTTACAGACTGTGAGCTTTATACAGCCTGTATTGAATGGACATGGGTCACTTTTATAAGGAGGGATGAGGTGAGTGTGTGGGGAGTGGCCAGCAGGGGTGCCTGGAGGGTGGGTGCACTTTCCAGAAGGGGTATGCTGATAGCCCACCTGCTAGGTGACCACGACGGGTTTCCAGGAATGGTGAGACAATTCTCTTGGCTACAGAGCAAAAAGTGGTGTGTGGGTGGAATCTGGAGGCTTCATTTCCAGCCCTGGCACTGTAAAGCTGTCTGGCGTGTCCTTGCCTCCAGTGGCTGCAGTTTCTACACTTGTCCAGAGAGGGAGGAGCTGGTGGGTCAGCCCTTTTCAAAGGAGCCTCCCTGTATAGGAGTTCTTGAGGCACCCGCTAGGATGCCAAGAATCCCATCAGGTCTCCACTCCCTGACAGACACACCTTCTCTCAGATACATTGACACACTCACATGCACATTTATGACTACTCTCACCCCACCTACGCTGGCTAATTTGATGTCCACTTGACACAAGCTAAAATCATCTGAGAGGAGAGGACCTCAATTGAGAAATTCCTACATAAGATTGGGCTATAGGCAAGCCTGTAAGGCATTTTCTTATCTAGTGATTGGTGGGAGTGGGCCCAGCCCATTGAGGGTGGTGTCATCTCTGGGCTGGTGGTCCTGGGTTCTTTAAGAAAGCAGGCTGAGCAATACCCTCCATGGCCTTTGCATCAGCTCCTGCCTTCAGGTTCCTGCCCTGTTTGAGTGCCTGTCCTGACTTCCCTTGATGATGAACAGTGATAAAGAAGAGTAAGCCAAACAAACCCTTCCCTCCCCAACTTGCTTTTTGGTCATGGTGTTTCATCACAGCAACAGAAACTCAAACTAAGACACCACCACTAAGGCCCCCAGCCTTCACATTCAGTAAAGAATGTGTGTGTGTACTTACATATATACACACCCCACTCACACTCAGACACATCAGTGAACACATGCATTCTTACACATATATACACTCCACTCTCACACTCCTGTCCCCACATCCAGTCAAGAATGTGCACACACTTATGTATACACTCTCACTCCCACTCATGATGCATCAGCACACTCATGTACTTATTCTCACATATGTATGCTCTCTCTCTCTCTCTAACACCCACACACACACACACACACACACACACACACACACACACACACAAACCCACACACCCAGTGCATTCATACACCCATTCACGTGCACTCATTCTCACACTCCACACTCACACATCTCACGGATTTTTTTCTTCTCAGTGTTTGAATGTCTTTAGGGTCCCTGAGCATCCCTCATCCTTTCTGGCCCCAGCCTTCATCTCATCTACGTATCACCTTTAAATATGTGAGGATTGGGGGTAACATTTAGCTGCAGCACGTCTGTGACTGGTCTGCCTTTCCTAGCAGTAGCCAAGTCAGAGAATCTGGGGTGTGTGGGACCAGAAAGAAGTGACAGCACTGGGGAGGGCCCTTCTGGGGTCAGTGAGGGGGGGCTGCCTAGGGAACTTCTCTCCTAGGGCAGGTGTATGCTTGAGACTCGCCTGACCCTTGGATCGTCCTTTGCTGTCCCTCCGATCTCTCTGGAGGACACTCTGCCCTGCTGCCTCATGAGAAGCAGATTCTCTCCACACAAAGCCTGACTGTCTGGAGCTGGCACCTTCCTGTGTGGGAACCCAGAGGCACTTTCAACAGTCCTTTCTTTCTCCCCGAGGCCTGGGAGCTGGGGAGGCGCCAGCTGAGTGGCTCCCTATTAAGAAACTGGGTGGGGTCGGGGGAGCTTCGGTCAAGAAGCCAGGCTGGTCCCCTCCCTAAGAATTTCATATAATGTAGAAATGTGAGAGAAAGAAAGCTTTGTGTGGCACTGCCTCGCTTCCCGTCAGGACACAGGCCAGCCAGCCAGGGACGCACGCTGCTGTGGGCAGAGAAGCCACCTAGTTTGGCTGGTGTCTAGGTTCTCTCCAGGGCCACATGTGGTATGTGAGTGGGGACACAGATTCCGTGGGGAGTCTGCTGTGGCTTCCTTTATGGATAACTCAAAATCCCTGACAAATTTTCCCACTTCCATTTTCAAGGACATAGGATTGGTTCATCAAAGCAAACAAGATCTCTTGGGGTGGGAATGGGAGTTGGGGTGTTTTTTGGCCAAAGGGCATGCTTTGAAATGGGGGTGCTGTTGCAGAGCTAGTAGGGGAGGGAGAAGAGGTCTTTCTTTACACATGGGGTGTTGTGTCAGTGATGGGACAAGGACCAGCTTCTCCTTCCACACTGCTACCTCCTGCAGGCAGGGACTCCACAGCACAGAGTTGCCCCTGTCACAGGCAAAACATGATACCACATTTCTCAACATAAAACACTAGCCACTGTGCCATTTCACATGGAGGAAAGGATCAGGTACAACCAACCAGAGGTTTCCCTCAACTACAAAAAGCTCACCCCAGCAGGGAAGGAGCCAAGCCACCAAGAAAATACAACCCAGCACCCAAGAGCGAGCTCAGGTTCCTGGCAAATGGGGATGGCTTTCTAGGAAACAGAGTCCCAGATGGAGTGGGATTAGATAGTCGTCAGCGAGAGAGGGATGGACCTGAGGAACTGTGTCTGCAGAGCTGAGCTGTGAGGACAGGTACGGAAGTTCTGGAAACTTGAGGTAGCTGAAGTTCCTACACACATGTGAAAGGGAGAGAGGATGATGCCAGAGAAGTGAGCCTGGTCCTGAACCTGTGGCATGGGGTTGAACCTGGTTCTGGTGAGGACTGAGTTCAGCAGTGGCGGAGCCAGGCATGAAGTGGCCTAAGGTGAGACCAGAGGTGAAGATACCATTGCTGAGGCCCAGGAGAGAGATGAGAAGATGTGAGCGTGGATAGTGACAGGCGACAAGTGCTATGTATTAAGGGAAGGTAGAACCCAGAGGGTCAGATGGGTGTCAGGCATCTGGCCCAGCAGCTGTGACTTGGATCCTCCTAGCCTGGATGAAGCCAGTTCTGCAGCCCATGTGTCCCCAAGGGAAGGCTCTCAAGTCAGGGGGAGGGAACGGGGGAAGTCTATTCTAGAAGGACGGTGGTCTCGAAGAACTGGACTGTGGATTCCACATTTGTCACCTCTGTTTCCACAGTGGTGCTCATTCTGTTGAACAGGGATGTTACCTGAGGGGTTGCTATTGTACCCCAGCTGCTAATGTCTGCATTGAGTCACAGAAGACACACAATGAGCCTTTGCCATCAGTGAAGATGATGGAAGCTGCAGATGCAAAGGATGGGGATTCACCGTTCCTGTCAAAGAATGGAATGGCTGGATCCCTTTAAAGGCATAGAGTGTCACAAAATGGTCTAGCCTCATCACTTCTGTCTTAGCCAGCTATCTTGCTGTGATAAAATAGCTGAGATAAGCAACATTAAGGAGGAACCGTGTATTTTGTCTCAGGTTTCAGAGTATTAAGTCCAAGGCAGTTTGCCTCCAATGCCCGAGGTATGACAGAACATCATGGTGGTGGGAGTGTGTGGTGGAGGACTGTTTACCATTTAGGGAGCAGAGAGAGGGAGAGCCAGGGAGTGGACCCTTAAGCGTATCAAAGACATGGCCACAATGGTTCTTCTCTTCCAGCCAGGACCCACTTCTGAATAGCCCATCAGGTTTCGAACTCTCTCATCCATAGACTAATCCACGGACAAAGTCAGAGGCTTCATTGTCCATTGACCCCTTTATTGAAAAGTGACCAGGACACTGGATGGTAGAGGTGGGCAGGATGGAGGCATGTGGAAGCACCTATAAATCCCTGAAGAGAAGCCAGAAGCTGAATCAGTGCCCAAGTGTCATGAGGACCATGGGGGACTGTCCATAAAGAGAAAATACTTGTCTTCAATACTGAGCTCAGCTGTCATCGCATGGCCATTGTGTGATCATTTACCTCGCTAGGCTTCCACAGAGCTCTGGGCCTCCAGAATGGACTCTGCAGAGGGAGTTGATGGTGTGAAAATGAGGGATAAAACGGACCCCATTCTGACAGGAATCTCAATGTTACCCACCCAAGACCTCCTCAGGGAGCCCTCCCCAGCCCTGCCCTGTAGCACCCTATTAAAAGCCATACTGTTAAACAGTCCTTTATCAAGCCACCCTCCTTTGCAGGGCTGAGTGCTGGTTTGGAAAGGAGTTCCAGTGAGGTCCACAATGCTTGTCAAGCAAGGTGTGTCATGGGAAATGGAAGTCAGATTTTCCCATCAGCAAAGGCCTTGGGTATGTGGAAAGGGCTGGCAATAGGCAACAGGGCTCAGACATTTTGGCACCAGCAAGATGTATCTGGACATTTGTCAGAGAAGTGTCAACTTGTCCCAGGGAGGTTCCCTATCTGCAGAAGCCTGGAGGTACCTGCACAGGCTCCATGCCAACCTAAAGTCTCAGTCCAGTCTCTGTTTTTAGCCACACACCAGTCACAACAGCTTCTATTTTCTGATGCTCCCTGAGTTGGCGGCCCCTGTGCTTCAAGCTCTGTTTGGTTCCATTTTGGAGTCCAATACCCAACATGGGGTAGGGATTGTTGCCCCCACATTTAGAGGTGAGAAAACTACCCCAGAAGCTAGTATGTGACAGAGTCATAATGCCTCTAGTATAATTCAGTTTAATAAGTACATCTTAGCCACGTTTGTGTGACAAACACTGGTAGGCTCCTAGAGATGCATAACACTGGGCTAGCCCTCAATGACTCAGAAGGAATTTCAAAATACCCTGAATACGCTGAAGCATAGGGCCAAGTGTGTGGGCTCTGAGGCCCCGCAGAGGAAGGGCGCTACGGTTTCCTAAGGGCTCGAGTGCTGGAAGCCTGGTTTCCAGTGTGGCAGTGCTGAGGGTGGACGTTTCAAAGGAACAGCCTCATGGGAGCTGATTGTGCTGTGACCGCTCTTGTAAAGGGACTAATGATGGTCTGTGGGTTAAACTTCCTACTAAAGGAAGTAGGAGGTTATTGTAGAGCAGAGGCTTTATCCTTCCCTGCCTTTTGCTTCCTCGTGTACACATATATCCCTTCTGAAGGTGTTAAGCTCCATTCTAATTTTC